TTAACCTTTTTATAATTAAGATAGGGATAAATCTTAGTAATATATACTCCGTATATTTTATTTATATAAAATTATCAGTATCCATACCTATATACGAAGTATTTGTGTTGTATACTATATTTAATCAGCTGTTGGTTATATATGTGACTATTATATAATATATAGTTTTTGGCACAATGGTTAACTTAGGAAAATATATGTTCTGGTAGGTCAAATATAAGGTTATTATTGTGTTTATAGATTTAATGAGTGCAACGGGTAAATAAAACATGTATATATTAGATTGATTGTAGCTATTGATGCGGATGGTATGATAAGAAAATTATAGTTTTTTCTCAACAGGAGATATAAATAAATTAGTCTACTTCTTATATAGCTATGTGGAGTATTATTCAATTATTTTTCAATTAATAGAATAACATTATAAAAAATTAAAAGAAATTCAAATAACATAAAATACTATTCAAATAACGTTCCTTTAATTTTTTTTTTTATTGACCATTAGTAACCAAGTCCTTTAATAGTAAATGAATTACCTCTGTTTTTATTTTTATTTTTCCTACGGGTTTAATAATTTGATTTATAAACACTATGCTAGTTATTTATAAAAATCGCTCATAATAATAGAATAAAAAGAGTGAAATACCATTTTCCAAAATAAAAAGACCGAAAAAATGACTCTTGCTATTTCACGTTCAACAACCCTCTTTTTTCAGTTTATTTTTCAATTCAATTCAATTCGATTCATTTCGTTCTCAATTGTAGCAACCTCTAAAGCTTCGGATGGAGAAATTCCATCTAACTTCATCACCTCATCCAAAACCTTGTTCACTTTTTCATCCATCATTTGCTCTCGTTCTTCCGCTTTAGACCATGCACTAGCCATAGTCCCAAGATTAACATTGATATTTTCAAATATCTTCCCAAAATTGTTAGAAACATCATGGAGGGAGCCCACCAAATCATCATCATCATTCCTACAAAAACTCTTCAAATCTACCTTGTTCTTTCCCTTTACCTTAGCCTCCTTCGCCTTTGTAGAACGTTTTCCGGATTGAATAGTGGAATCACTTGCGGAAGAATGAATCGTAGAAGCCTTCACTTTTGCCACTTTTTAAGGAGTTGAATGATCATCCTCTATCTTCATGGGACGTTTTCCGGATTGACTTGTAGAAGAATAAGTGTCTGAATGAGTAGAATTCACATCATCTTCTTCATCACTCTCGACATTCAATGGTTGCTTATCAATGTCTTGATCCATATCTTCTATAGCATCAACAAACGACTCACTTGCATCACTGACAAAGAATGAAAAAAATTTAGTGAATTAAAATGGTGAAACAGTATTCAACAGATGATAGAGCAAGAATTATATTACTAAACAAAGAAACAGATCATCAGCCATTGAAAATTGAAGGAAGGAGCAGCCAAAGAATAAACAAGTTATATTGTATTAAAATACTGCAGTAAGAAAGTATACAAGGCCTCCAACAGGGGAATAGCAGCATGGGGGAGGGGCAGGAGGGGAATAGTAGCATGGGGGAGGGGCAGCAGCAAGGGAATAGCAGAAGGGGGGAGGGAAGCAGCATACCTTTACCCATCCGTCGAACACCGACTTATCTACTTGTAGAATCTTCTTCTCAGCATCCCATCCAAATCCTATCCAAATCCTGAGGTGGATAACATTTCCGCCAATGCACTATATTTCTCCGACCAATGCTTGATGCTCGACTCAATGTGGGGAACCGCTCTCAAGCCGCAATTAGGAAGTACACCATTGATCATCTCTTCCAACTTATTCATGTAACCATTCTTAAACCCATTCTCACACTTCCACTTCGGATCGCACCCTCAACTCATGCAATATCTTATTAGAACCGCATCTTCTTCATACGTCCAATACCTTTTATTTTTACCTCTACCTTGATTACTTGCCTCACCCTTAGCTTGACAAGCCTCCATCTGAAAAATTAAAAACAAAAAATAAAAAACCAAAAATCAATTGAAGCTACTACTGACCTAATGCTGATCTTTCCAAAATAAAGACATCATTTAACAATCACCATTGAAAATGTTAACATACAAAAACATAACACCATAAAAAAGGTAGTGGTACAGATGTAATAAAGACTGAAAGGATAACAAGCAGGCTAGTAGAGGTTATGAGATGTCAAGACTTGAGAGTAAAATTATGGAGATTATGAGATTAATGAGTTTTTTTTTTTCAACAATAGATTTAAAAGGTACATAAATTTAATTAGCACCCAAAGATCCATCAATTGTGTCAAAAGAGACTGGAGTGCCTAAGATGCATCAGTATTAAAGTGCCTTAGCAAAATTTCCTGGCCTATAACCATGAAGGCAATGAAGCACACTAGTACAAATCAATGAAAACTAGAAAATATAATGTCCAAGACAAAATCCTAATAGTAAATATAGACCAATGAAGCCTTATGTTTCGATACAAGATCAATGTACACCAAACTTTACAATCAAAACAACATAATAGGATTAACTAATCTTGAATAGAGAATGATGGGATTACAACAATACGGAAAAACACACTCACTAATAAGAAATGTCTGGTAAATGATAACAGTCCTTAGTAACCATCATAAACACACAGCTCTCTTTACTCCTTCAGAACAAAATATAAGGCATATTAGAATTGAACAGAACAAATCAATGAAGCATAACATACTTTTTATGTTATTGACCATGTCTACCTCTCGCCCTCCAATTGTTAAACATATCTTGGGCTAATGTGTTTCTAAAATTGGTCCAATGATCTGAAGTAGCAACACTTGTAATAAATTCCCTCTCATCATCAGAATCACTCTCGGACTCATCATCGGATTCACTCAATTCATCTTCTTTTATATCATCCGTAGGCATGAATTTTCTAATTAGATTATGTAATAAGCAACAAGCCATCACGATGCGTCCATGAGTTCGAATAGGGAAAAACGAAGGACTTCTAAGTATACTCCATCTTCCTTTAAGTAGGCCAAAACATCTTTCAATCACATTTCGCGCTCTAGCATGTTTCATGTTATAGAATTCCTCGGCACTTTCGGGTTGTCGATCCGTCCATTCTTTTAAATGGTATCTTTGACCTCTATATGGACCAAGAAAACCCTCACAATTCGTATACCCCGCATCAGCCAAATAATAATTACCTTCAAAGTTATTGAAAAAAAATAATTACTTCCAACCAAAACTAATAAAACATATACACTCACAAAAAAGGCCTTCACTTACCTCGAGGTACTCTAAAACCGTTTGGTCTAGAAAGAGCATTTCGAAGTACACGCATATCATGGGCCGAGCCTTCCCAACCAGGAAGAACATAAATAAATTGCATATTAGGTGCACAAACTCCCAATACATTCATAGCAATCGTTCCTTTTCTTGTTCTATACTTTGGTCGTTCTTGTGAAGGCACATTTACATTAATGTAAGTCCCATATAATGCCCCTAAAAAATTCTACAAAAATAGGAAAAAATATTACTTACAAACAAGCAAAAATAAGAAAATCCTAGCAAAATTTAGGGGCTTTGAAAATACCAATACCTTGAAGGATTTCCACCTTTCATCTTCACAATCATCCAATATTGGTGTGGGATTGTAAAGTAGTACTTCATGCAACTTGAGAAAAGCCCTTAGACAAAGGTGAAATTGTCGGCTCACGGTTTCTCCACTTCTATAGAAGTAATGTCCAATAGACCTATTCTTCTTATGATGAGCCAACGTGTATAAAAACATGGCTACTATCTCTTGAAGCGACATGTTTTTTGTTCCACTCAAACCCCCAATGTCTCTAAGCATCTCACAAATAATATTGAAAGTTTTTCTATTAACACGAAGCTCACTCTTGCATTTCACATCACTCTCCCTATAAAGCCCTCTCAATACTAACATCCGTAACAATTTTTTGTTTCTTTTCCTATCTTTTATTTGAACCCCCCTTATTGTAACAACGCTAATTATATACCACATCCAATACATCATCAACATAATAATAACCATTGCAATTACTATTTGTATTTGTTTTAGCTTTTTCTTCCTTATAGAACGCATAAGTCGAGGCATTGTACAAGAAACACAGAAAATAAATGGCAATTGAACCTGATAAACGGCAAAACAATAGTTATATCAATCTCTAGTTAATCAAATAACAAATATTGTCAACCAAATCATGAGGAGTAAACTAGTCAAGAAACAAGCAAAATTAAGCAAAAAACCATGGTCTATATACTCAAAATAGTAGCAGTAACTTTCTCACTGTAATGCATACACATATGGAGCAAAATAAGACATGTATAGCACCAGAAAACCATGGTCTATATACTCAAAATAGTAGCAGCAACTTTCTCATCGTAATGCATACATATGGAGCAAAATAAGACATGTTCAGCACCACCAATAATCTATTACATTCATAACATAGATATAATTACCAAATGAAGAAATTATACAAAACTCCAATGTTTGTTAAATAATTTCAAATGAATTGAAGCTTAAAACAATAACATTCGTAGCTGAAACTTGAAGTAATTATAATAATACAATAAAAAATCAAACAAAAACAACTTTCTAAAGATTGCAATTGAGCACGCAAGTTATAAATTCATACAAAAAAATGCAAAAATTGATACTACATGAACCCTAGAAATTGAACGAAAACAACTTTCTGAAGTTGCAATTGAACACGCAAGTAATAAATTCATACCAAAAACGCAAAAATTGATACTACATGAACCCTAGAAATTGAATGAGAGAAATGAAGATAGCAAACATGTGATAATTTCTGAAGATTTGTAGAAGAAAATCGAAAAATTTAGGAGTAAGATCTGGAGAATTGCAGCTTCCTCGTAGAATCATCGAAATTTTTTGGGAATTTTCAGAGAATTATCAAGCAAGTGAAGAGGAGAGAGAAGAATTTTCTTTATTTTTTGTGTTAGATGAAGGAAAGGGGATTTGTTTCCTCACCTATTACAGGGGAAACAATTGGGTGGATTGGGTTACCCCTAACTAACGGTTTGTGTTACTTTAGTCGGTAACCAAACACAATGTAACGGAAACACTAATATGATTCCGTTTCCATCCCTATAAAATCCCTATACCAAACACTCCCTCAATCTCTACCTCTTGAATCCCTAATCCCTCAAAACACTTCAATCTGAGCCCTAGAGACGAAGAAATTGTTTACCATTCATAAATCATCCGGTCTAAGGTTTGGTTTTTTGTTTAATTTATTGTTAAATTGTTGTAATTTATTCTTTAATTGTTGTATAAATGGTTATAAGTTGATTTTGAAAAAATTTCGATCGTGCAATTGTGCCCAAATTGACGAAGCTTGTGACTATTCTTTGTGAGTTGTAATTTTTCATATGAAGTGGCTTGATTTTTTATTTTCATTTGGGTATTAGTAAAATCATTAATATTGGAAGAACCCAATTGAAATTAGTTTAATAGATTGAAATTTATTGAAAGAATTGGGGAATTTTGGATTGTAAAGTATAAGAATTTTGCCCAGATTATTATAAGATGAATATGCATTGTAGCTTGGACCCTTTGTGTTGATAAGTCAATAATGATTAGAATTTTAGATGTTGAACTTGAGTGGGGTGAGGTTTACTCTGATTGCAGCAAGCTTTATCCCTACTTACAGCAGGGGAAATGTGAAATTTCAGCGTTAGGTGTTATTGTTACTTTGTTAGTGATATTCTTCTCTTGGCTAGTTATTGTTCTACTCTCTTTTACACAGGTTGGCAGAGAGGGCAATTGTGCCGCTCGTTTATTAGCTAGAGGTAGCAGAGATTATGGTGAGATGAGAGTGTGGTTAGAAGAAGTGTCACATTGTGCTTGTAATGCTGCTAGATTTAACTAGCTTGGAGTAATAAGTAGGGTTTATAGCATTATGTGAAATTGGTTTTAGGTTGTGTGATTTTTTCAAATTTTTTTAATCCTGTTTTTATTTTTCTTCTTTAACAATTTTCTGCTCAACACTTTCCAATTCATTCGTTTTTAATTCATGTTTGATGCTTAATAGTACAGATTTAATTTAGTAATTGATGTTAAAGAATTTTTTTTTTTGGTTAAATATTATACATAGTATCATATGGCTCGAATTGGTACTTAGTGAGAAGTAGAAGAGATGAAACATTATTTGTGTCATAATTATTATGATTAGAGGTTTGTTCATTTTTTTTTCACTTATTTTCAAATAAGTTCAATTCAAAAAAAATAAGTTTTTGATAAGGGTTATCAAGTTCAAATTACAACTTTTTTTTTTATAGATATGTTCAGATAAAATAAGATAAGTTCACATAAGTGAAAATTAAGTGAATAGAACATAACCCAAGTGTTGTTTTGCTACATTTGTTTTTATAGGACAAATACTTGTGCTAGTTGTATTTGTATATAGGACAAATACAAAGAGGTGATACTTTGGACTTGAAGTAAATGAAGTTGGTATTTGAATGGGTTAAGTAAGATGTTGAATTTCCTTTATTTTCTTATTTCGTAGAAAAGATATACAATTATATTTTTTGAAAATAAAATTAAATTACATGTTTCGTATTCGTAGGACTTATATTGTTTGTACAACATCATATTATGAACCAAATCTTTATCTTCAATGGTTATTGACTTAAGTCTTGTACCTCCATTCCAATACTTCAAAAGCTAATGCTTATGTAAAACCTATCCCTTTGTATAATATTTGACTTGTTCTGTTGAAGTCATCTTAGGCTTTTCTTTTGCTGCTTCTAAAACCACCCAATATCCTAACTCTTTAGTCTTTACCTTCCTTGCTGGCGTGTCTTTTGGTTGCTGTCTCACGTGCTCAAACCAACATAGCTGGTTCTCCCTTACCTTATCATCAACATCTGCAACTTATATTCCTCCGAGCATCTTCTTTCCTTGATCCTTATGATTTGACAGCTGTAAATTGTTTGTGATGGTTGCAGATTTAGCATTATAGGCGAAAAACACTGCATTATGTTATGCACTATATTGTAACTAATTCTAATTAGTGATTGTTTTCATTTTCAGCAAATAATCTTTTTTGCGGGAAACTACAACCCTTGATTGCATGGAAGAAGAGGACTCTGCTTCTACGCTTGCGTGGAGTTGGGTTATTGAAGCCTTAGCAAAGTCTCAGCTTGTGGATGCCACTCTTTTATATGGTAACATGCTAACTCCATAATCCCCCCTATCCCCCCCCCCCCCAATCTCCCCTCCAATTCAGCTTTCAAAGTCTGTTGAGTATGTAAGATTCATTTTTTGGTCTTTTCAGAGTTGGTTTCAAAGACACCACCATTATTGGGTGAGTCGGGGAGAAAAGCAAGGGAAGCTACTGCCTTGAGGTGTTTAGAGGGACTCTTCAGCCCTTCTAATGTGTCAAGTAAAAATCATGTTGCGTCTGACTGGTCAAAATTTGGATTTGATCCAGCAGAAAGCTGCGAAGCTGCAATTCAGCGCCTTTTACGTGAGGTGACTAGCTTTGTCTTGTATTTGAATAGTTCTTTGTTGATTAGGTATTAAGAAGTTGAAAGTTTACTAGAGAAAAGATTACAAACTTGGGGTGATCATTCTCTTGGTTGGCTGCTAACTTTTGTCTTCATACAGACTTCAGGTTTTAAGGGCGCATCGGACGAGTTGAATTGCAATACTGATTCTTTCTTAAAGCACAAGAAAGCAAGTTTGCCGAAATCTACTTTGGAACTGGTACATGGTGCTTTTCATTGTTTTTTTTCCTTGTGGGAAGTGGTTCTATCTTGCTTAGGATTTTTGGTCTTAATTTTTAGTTTTTTGTTTTTTGTTTTTTTTTTTTTTTGTGACGAGCAGTTAAAGGACATGATTGTAGAAGATACACATCCACTGGCAGCATCTTTGAAGGAGGTTAGTGGACTCGCTGTCGGAGATCAATGTGTGTTAGATATTCCCTTTGACGGTGGTGATCCTACATCTCCTCCATTAAGGAGCGATGAAGATGATCATGTTGAAAAAACCATGCTAGCAGAAGAAAATGGGTGTTCTCCAATATCTGGTATTGACAATCAGCTTAGACAAGCCTACCTTGCAAATGGAAAAACATCTTCTAGGGGTGGCGTAAGTAGTAACCACACTGATAATCATATGCAAGAGCTGGAGGCTGCCTCACATGACATGGACAATCTATGCCCCCCTGGAAAGAAGCTTAAATTGGACAAGGAGTATGGCATGCAGTCTAAGCATCAGCATTCAGCTCCTGTTGACAGCAATCAAATGTGTAACAATGCAGAAGATGGACAATATCATGAAGTCATAAGAGTTAATGCAATTTACGATAGTAAATCTTATGGGAAAGATGATGAGCAGTCTAAAACGTATGCGGAAAATCATGATCAGCAACAAATTTCACCTAATAATGGTAATGCAGAAGCTGTACAATATCATGAAGTCATAAAGGTCAATGCACAACATGATGGGAAATCTTATGGGATAGATGATGAGCAGCCTAAAACGTCTGTGGAAAATCATGATCAGCAACAAATTTCACATAATAATGATGACCATTTCCGCAAAGAGATCGATCTTGCCATGAAAAACCATAACTTCCCGAGTTCACAATGTGTATTAACTGGAGACTCCCTTGAAATGACAGAGACACAGACAAATCTTTGTATGAAGTGCAATAAAGATGGCCAATTGTTATCTTGCAGTGCTAGCAGCTGCCCCTTATTGTTTCATGAGAGCTGCTTGGGTTGCTCAGCTAGCTTTGATGATCTGGGAAACTTTTACTGTCCGTTTTGTGCATATTCTCGTGCAATGTCAGAGTATGTTAGAGCCAAAGAAAAAGTTTCTTTAGCAAGGAAAGAGCTCTCCCTATTTATTGGAGGGAGGACTAGGGATTTTCCAGAACGTGATGGTGATTCATCATCAGGGGATGATGTTAACCTGGGCAAACATAAGAATGTTGATAAGACAGCTGAAGTGAAGAAAGCTGCTACTTTTGTAAATCAAGCTGCTAAGTCTCATCAGACAAGTTTGAAAGGTAAACAATTAGAGCTAACACACTCTTCTGCCTACATGAATGTTAATCGATTTGTAATGGCTACACAACAGCATATTTCTTTTCAAGACAGACAAGGTGCTGAAATAATTATCCAACTTTCAAGAAACCCATCTCAAATATGGAATAAGGATCAGGATGATCATCGTTGTGATGGTGTCAAGTTGTCTGGTGATAATAATGAGCTAAAACTTCAAGGAAAACTCACTAGGTGTAAAATTACTGAGTTTCGTGAAGATGCTTCCTCTGAATCAATTAGTGATTCAGATGGACCACAACAAGATAAGGGGAATGATGGTACCTGTTCCTTGGCATGCCGTAGACCGTTAAGGTGAGAAGCAACGACAGAATACTTTCTGTTGCAGTTGCTAATAATTCCCTAGCCTTTAATATGTGTTAGTGTTGGCTGTTGTGTTAATATTAATCTGTTTTTTGTTTGTTCCATGCTATTATTTGGTGGATTTATACTCAATTATCTGCCATACTTATTTGATTAGGAATCAACTTGATGACTGCTTCAATTATTCCTACCTTGTTATGAGTGGTTATGCTGTATCAATTGTGAGTTCTGTCTATTTATGCTTTTTTGATTCGGAGCTAAGGAGTTCATCTGGAACGTGTCTTTTCATCATAGCTCTGATTGGATCGTCTGTCTTCTTTTTGTTAGTAATCTTCTTTAAGAAATCTAATGTTGGTATACTAATTTGTACAGCAAATTATTGGGTGTTCCTTGCACTTTAGCATATGATTAGGTCTTGTATATTGTACTTCGTATCTTTTGTCCTCGACGAGTGATGGATTCTAAAATGCTCTTTACTGTGTTGTTGGCTGCTTGTTTCATTCTTTACTGTAGCCTTGAAGGATTTTTGCCTTATTGCTAGGGTTGCATATATGCTGGCCTCCCTGGATCCTACTGACGATGAAATCCTCCTTTCACATTGGGTAGTGGGCTGTTAGTAGTGTTGCTGAGGAACTTGTAGCCGTTAAGTCTGGGCTGTGGCGAGAATGACCTATTTAGTTTCTTGCATTCTTTTGCCGCAATGTTGATTTTGTAGCTTATGGTTTTGTTTTATTTGTTATTGGTTTTGTTTTGTTTTGTTTGTAACTTGCAGCAGTATTGTTTTTAAAGCAGCTTCCAGCTATTGCTGTGTCCCTAGATGTTGTAGGTGTGCTATGAATTTGGAGTTCTCTCTGGTTGGCTTAGAATTGACTGAACTTATGTTTAATTTGCAGGGCAATTCCAGGATCTCCAGTAGGTAGACGTAAAAAGATTCGTTGGACAGCAGAGGAGGAAGAAACGTTAAAGGTACCTACTCCCTTATGATTTTCAACAAAAAAATTAAATAGCTATCTTCTGGAAGAAGTAATTTAAGAAATATGAAGTATTAACTAAGCTTAGCAACTGTTTTTATTGTTATTAACTTATAATATAAGATCAGTTGAGCTTCCAAATTTTGTTGGAAGCTTTAAGTCACTTGTTAGTTGAATTATTGTTGAAAAAACTTCATATTTTCACACCTTAATTATCATTTATCATTGCTCTCTTTGCAGAAAGGGGTAGAAATATATGATCAAGGGAATGGTCGAACCATTCTGTGGAAAAGTATTTTGGAATATGGAGATTCTGTGTTCCGAAAGGGTCGAACTGCTGTAGACCTGAAGGATAAATGGAGAAATATTACTCGTGGGACAAGTCCTAAAGTAAATTGAGGTTTATCTTCTTTGATCCGGTTTTGTAGGTAGCGCCTTTTGTAGCAATGCTTTAGGGCCTTTCTTGGTATATAGTTTCTTTTGTAGCAAGACATAGAACATTTTGTGGATGTAGATAACCAAGGTTTTCCCGTGCAGACGCGCAGACGGGTCTCTTTTGTATATTAACCAAGACCTTTAGTAGGATTAGTGCAGTTATTCTCCGCATTATGAAGTTGTGACTTGTGAGTAATGAAGCTGTCTTTTTTGTATTCTTAAGTGTGTGTCATTTATCAGAAGCTGCGATTGGCTTTTGTGATTATCTTCAACATGTTATGGATGCGCAAATAAGCTGTAGCTATTGTACTACTCCATAAGTCCATACGTCATAGTACTTGGAGAGTTGGATGTGAATAGTTTTGTGCCCTATGCTCTTCACCATATTTTTAGAGTTTATATAATGTTATAAAATAAATTTTATTCTTATTGATTATTTATTATATTTAATCTTTCTAGTTACTTAGTTTACTACTATTCAAAACAAAAATTTTACTAAATTAAAATTAATTTTGCTGAATTTGACTTATTTTTTGAATATCATTTTGAATAAGATGAGGGCCTTGGTCTTCAAAATATAAAGTATATAGAAATGAATTTAATAAAGTCGCATGTGTTATTTTTTCTTTACATTCATATTAGTGCTCGTATTAGTTGTACATACAATATAAAGTTTGATCACCACACGAATAATGAACACAACAAGTAGATTAAAAAAAACAAAGAAAGTATAAAACTCGTTAGTTGTAAAACTACTTGGGTAAATTCTCAGTTAAATCTAGGATCCAACTCCTCCAAGAGTGTTTATGCATAGCCAAAGAAATCAAAATGAAATGGTTTGAGAATATTAAGAGACTAATAGAGTGAAGAAAGGACAAAGGGACGCTCCCATAAACTTGGGTAATAAATGGGTGTAGAAGGCGGTGGGTTTACAGCAGGAGCCCTGTGATTCCAGTCCTTGGCAAATTCTATGCCACTTGTGCATTTATTTATTTAACTCAGTAAATTTTTGATATTTTAACCTCTTTTAACCATCATATATAATATAATTATGGTTTCAAAAATAAAAAATAAAATTAAAAAAAAACCATTTTGTATTAATTCTACAGTATATAATAGAGATTGTGGAGTTTGTTATATACACCCGGATGCACCGTACACCCATAAGTATTTTGTTCTCATTTTAATGATTATTTTTCATTTAATCATCAAATAAAGAGTAAAAACTAACTTAGATCAGTAGGTGTACGATATACCCAGAAGTATATATATGGAATGATGGAATAAAGGTGAGTAGCTAAGAAATGGGAGGGACCCGAGAATCAGGAGGCAAAATGGTAGGAAAACATGTGAATTTCAACTCGTGATAGTTTACAATGTTGGTTATATACTCGGTATTTGACTAGTAAACTTGAACTGTAGCAGTATATGAGAATCCTAGGAATGTTTTTAACTTTTGTAATTTTTGTCATTTTCTTCTTTTTTGATTGGTTGATCGATAGGATAATATGATTTGAGAGTTGTGCTTTTGTGAAATTTAGTGTGTATTCTTTTCACCTTAAGATTTAAATTTATTAGATCTGATTGAAATAACATTTTAAAATAGTAGGTAACAACTTATGAAAAAGAATTGTGTACTAGGATTTCAATCATAGCCTTTGGTACTTGTCCAAATATGACTACTCAATTCGAGTCTAAGTAGAAATATAGTTGGACTTGAGTTAATTTATTGATGCTATTTATTTACTGATCATATAATAAGCCAAATAATGATAATCCTAATTGTGAATCGATCCAAACACACGATTTGATTTAAGTCACCTTAACTACTTTTCACTTAAATCAATTCATTTTAAGGGTCTATTCTCATTTACTGAACTGAATTAAACTGAACTGAACTGAATGAAAGTGAATAGAACTGAACTGAAATTAAGCTGAAGAGAACAGACCCTAAATCTAAAGTTTATCAAAATATAAATTGAATAAGGCCCCTTTCACTTCACCTTATTTTGGTTAAATTGAAATTATTTTTACTGTATTGAAATTATTTTAATTGAACTAAAATTAATTTTGCTGAACTGGAATTATTTTTGCTGAACTGAAATTATTTTTACTGAATTCTTATTGTATTCCTTCTTTAAAGTTACTGGTTTTTACTAAATTGAAATTATTTTACCAAACTTAAATTAATTTTAATGAATTGAAATTATTTTTATTGAACTAAAATTATTTTTATTGAAGTGAGCTTATATTTACTGAATATAAATTTTTTAAGGTGAGGTGAACAGGGCCTAAGACACAAATGAATGTACTAGTGGTAGGAAAACCAAATAAAGAAAAACTAGAATATATATTTCAGTCTTTCTTTTCTTTCTATTTTTAAGAATTTTTTTATCAGTTGCAAATCTATAATTTTTGTATGTAATTTATATATAAGCTTTGAGTATATATTTAACAACACCAATATGACAATATGTATATAAAAAAGGCTATTATCTAAATTGTAATTATGATACTCGGTAACATATACAATATTTAATTAGTTTCTCTCACCTAGTGGGCCCAACATATATTTTCTCTCCTCCGATTATCTCCATTACTTTTGCTTTTTACAATTTTTTATTTTTCACCAACCCACTACCTCCATATTTTATTACTTTATCCAATTTCTCCTAAAACTCCGCGCATGGAGAAATGGAGCAAGTATTTAAAAACGTATGGAGTATACAGTAGGAATCGTAGGCTGGAATTATAATATAAAGTATAGTTATTATAGAGTAGTTTAAGAGAGAAATACTCCGTAATAAAAAGAGTAGTATAAGTAGAGTTAGTATAAGAGGAAAACAATAAATATTTGTGCAATTGAAGTTAGTCGGAAAGAGAAATAATAAAATAGTAATATATCCTTAAGAAATTAGGAAGCTTTGTAATTATTATGAAACAAATAAAAAAGAAAAATATTGCAATTATTACAATATTGACTGAGTACTATTTAGCAAAATCTTTTATCCCGTGGAAAAAGTAGAAAATGGATCATCTACAACAAGACCAAAGATATGTAACGGTCACATGGGCTTTGAACTCGAATTCTTCTCTAAACGTGAATGCATTTAAATTTCCAACCCTTTTCAATCTCTACTTATACCCGCGCCTTTTTACGCTCAACATTCACACCAAACACTCCACTTCACTTCACTTCACTTCACTTCACTTACTAAGAATCCAAGAATGGATAACTTGAAGAAATCATCACTATCGAAACCATGGAAGAAAGGCCCTGCTCGCGGCAAAGGAGGGCCTCAAAACGCGACATGCACGTACCGGGGAGTAAGGCAAAGAACATGGGGGAAATGGGTAGCTGAGATCAGAGAGCCTAAGAAGAGAACTCGGCTTTGGTTGGGTTCTTTTGCTACTGCTGAAGAAGCTGCCTTGGCTTATGATGAAGCTGCAAGGCGGCTTTATGGGCCGGATGCTTATCTTAATCTTCCGCATCTGCGTTGTAGCTTTAATCCTTTGAACAAATCGCAAAGGTTTCGTTGGTTTCCCTCCAAGAATTTCATCTCCATGTTCCCTGCTTCCAGTGGGACAACACCGTCTTTGCTCAATGTAAATGTGCAACCGAGTGTTCATGTTATTCATCAGAGACTCCAGGAGTTCAAGAATTTCAGGCCGTCTTTAAGTGATCATAATAATAAGTCTGAACCCAAGAATGTGAAGAGGGATAATAAAGAAGTTGAAATTGATAATGACAAACAGAAGTGGGAGAAGCCTCAGATTGATTTGCACGAGTTTTTGGAGCAGATGGGAGTTTTAAAGGAAGGAGAAGCAGCTTACGATAACAAAGCTGATGCAAACAATGGCGAGAATGATGAGTTGAACGAGAATAACATGGAGGAGATGAATTCCGAGTGGGACGAATTAGTTGAAATCTTGAGAGGGGAAGATTATCAACAACCTGAATCAAGCAGTTATGGAGACTATAATATGCAGCAAGAGCTAATAACTTTCCCACCTGGTATCTGGGACTTTTGAAGAGTTTCATTTGATTTCCTAAATCTAGTTAATGTCAGTCATTAGAGAATATTTAGATACATGTAACCTGATTTAATGTCCTATAAGATTTGTATGAGATGTAGTTATGACTAATTGGTCTCTTTCGGGAATAAAATACGCTAGGTAGATGGGTTTTGGTAGATAAAGAAGCTAAGAAAGTAACGCCATAGTGCGTTTCCAAGTTTAAATCATTGACTAAGAACTGCAAAATCTAAAAAATGAACAAATTTGTGATACCTTCCAAGATTCAAATGACAGAACACAGAAACTGATGCAATTTCCAGATATGAAGTCTGTTTCAAATTCAAATTTCAACATGAAAAGCTCAATAAAAGTCAGCCTAAGATTCAAAGGTTACTGAAACCGAGCTGTTAACATTTGTTGATGAAGAAGGGTATAGAACTGTTTTAAAGGCAACTTTCTGCTTCCCTAAACTCTAAAGTCTAGCACACTCTATTTGTGTTTTCCCTTTTTACAACAGTAGAAAGGCTATCAGATCTGACAATGCATCTGTTATTCTCTTCGATCTTCACTGTCGTATCAATGCTATTCCTGTCCCCAATTATCCATTCAAGGAGCAAATAATATCGCCCAAGCAGTAAAAAATTTCATGTTTTATATCGGATTTACTCATTTCCATACTCTGAAGCACTCAGATACTCACCATGCTCCTCAAAATATTCAATCAAACGCTTCAAAAATTGGTCACTACTCACAGTTTCAGTGTCACAAATCACGCAACATTGCCTCCTCGCACGAGTCACTGCCACATTCATTCTTCTACGGTCGCAAAGAAAGCCAACCTGTACAATTAACATGAAATTTTCAAGTAACTGTAAAGTCAATTTAACCCATTTGAAGAAATTATATAAAACCCTTGTATTCAATATTCATATTCCTTTTGGTAATAAAACATAATAGTAATTGCCAAAGAAGAGAGTATTAAACATTACACACCTCTTTCTTTGAGTTTGATCTAACCATTGAAATAATTATAGCTTCTTTCTCCCGGCCTTGGAAACCATCAACAGTTGATATTTCCATATCCTTTAACTTAGCGTCGTTACTTTTTAACATCCTCAATGCCACAACCTATCACAAGAGTACTGTGTATTAGGAGTACTGGTAACTTCATGAGATTATTATGCATTAAGAAGCTACTTATTGCCATACCTGTGCACGGTAAGGTGTAATTATACCAATATCAGAAGCCTGGACCCCACTATCAATGAGTCTTTTGGCATGAGCTATTGCAACCTCAGCTTCACCATCATTTAGGGTGCTGTCTTCTTCATCTTTTTTTTCTTCCATATCACAACTGAAAAGTACAAGACAAATTACATGCAGAAACTAGCAAGCTGTTTCATTCAAGACATAAATTGTTGTACAACACAATGATAGGTGCAGGAATATCCGTGAAGAGTGACCACGAAGATTTTATAGACCTTTTAGTGGAGTACTAGTATGTAAATATTCCTTCATCTTTTAATTCTCGTCAAATATGCAATAATTAACCACATGGTTGATCACTACTCTATACATCACCATTTGACAAATGTCACGTAACAATTGCACGAGGGAAATTAATGCGCAAAATGCGAACAAAATTTATACCCTGCTGTGTCAATGAGCAGAATAGTGGCTTCAGTTGCAGTGGTTTTCTTCACACCTTCCAAATCATAAAGCATATGTGCAGCAACACACGAGTGAGCTTCTATCTGCAATAATGAATATCAAACATCAAGCAAATCTAATAATTGTTTTCTACCATTTGGCTGCAGTTTAAATCATTTGCTAAACATTCTTTTGTAGAGTACATAAGCACCTTACTATCGTACAGCTCTTTAGATGACCAATCCATAATAAGTTTGTGCATGCGATATTGAACAGTGAGCATTGACATTATATCATCCCCATACAAGTCTGCAAGACGTTCAAATAAGGTTCTTCCGAGACCTTTCTTTTCAGCTTCAACACTCTGGATAGTGGGTGGAAGCTGAAGATGATCTCCGGCAAGAATACATCTTGAACCCTGAAATGAAAAAATAACAACTTCAAGAGTTTCTCAGCTAAAAACTCTCCCACTTCAAAGCATGGGAAAAAAAATAAAGATGTATACAACAAGTGTGAAAATTGATACATTTTCCAGGAACTAAACCATTTTGACATTAGTTGGTTTTTTTTTAAAACCTCCTTTGATGAGTAACAAGGCAAAAGACAATATTCAGTAAATTGTTTACATGGCTAAATCTGTTACATTCAAGTTTTGACAATCTTTTCTCCACCTCCTTCCCAATTAAAGTTTGTGATTACTATTTGGGAGTTCCAAAAAATATTGAGAGTTTTATCTGAAATTACGAAGTGTGCACCTTCAATGAGGTGATTTGGATTCGACATGGGCAAAGGTGCAAAAGAATTTGTGTATCAGTCACATATAAATCTTTAATATCATTTCAAATAGTGATAGAAAACTTCATTATGGGAAAAGAGTATAATAGCCAGCAAACCGAAGGCACCAAATCCCCGATATGTTGTCATTTCTGCATAAGTGCTCACTGTTAAGACTCGAGCAAAAGTAGCTTATTATATCATGACACCCTTGATTTTATTTTGGCAAGTGAAAAGACAAAAGATTACATAGTATAAAAGGAGATTTTTTTCCCACGTCAAACCCCCTTTTGATGTTTAAGTAGGGCGCGAAAGGTGTTCATCTTTTAGTTAATATCAGCATTCAGCAAGAGTCTTTTTTCAAGAAGCAGGAACATGTACCAGTAGCAAGGGATTCTAAACCAAATATCTAAAGCTCATATGAACGGTATCACTGCCTTCAAGAGTTACCTTCAAAAGAGCTATCCAGCATGCAATTTCAAGTGCTTGTGCAGCTTCATCAATAATCACCAGGTCAAAAGTAGATCTATCCAGTTTTTTAGTCAATGCTCCAGTTAAAGTAGTCAATATGACATCTGCATTTTTCAAAACATCAGTCACAGCTAGCTGTTGTCGTTTGCGCTCTTCCTTAGAAAGAGTACGTAGCTCTTTCATAATTTCTCTCTTGGTATTTTTGTCTTTAGCCTTCAGCAGCTTTGTATTTAGTGCCTGAAATTTACATCTGATCCATTAACTAGAAAAAATATTGATAAGCCCATATAAATGAAGAATATTCACATTTAAAATAAGGCACTGGAATTTCAACGAGAGAAGCAGAGAACCAAACAATTTTCCAAAGTTTACCTTTATTTCTTTGCGAATGTCTTTTGCTAGAGAATTGTTGTCGCCTCGTAGCACCTACATATATGCAAATAATCTCTGAGGCAAAGGTTGAGGAAGGGAATTAAAAGTGCCATAGTTGCTCATATTGCATACTAATATTGTCACAATGTAGAATTGTAGATGTTCCCAATCAAAAGAAATTAAGACATCAATGTGAGTTAAATTACAAAGGGAGGGAGTATATTTCAAAACTCGATTCAGAACAAAATTTGACTGACGTTTATCTACTTTTTTATAATAAAAAGGAGGGACTCCAAGATCTAAATTTAAGTTGATATTAGAAAAGGAAAAGGTGCTAGAAATGCAGGAGGGCAAGTGCAAGCCATTTTCTTCTGGATAGTTGACATCAGAGTAGGTGAAATGTCGATTTTCACTACTATATAGCAGTTACTACAGCATTATAAGAATTTTATCCCTGTGAAATGGAGCTAGAATGAGATTTCTAGCCTAGCATTGTTCATTAATTATCATCAATAGGAAAATTTATAGGTGTCCATCAATCTTATTGCAAAATATGATAGAAAAAGAGAAATAGAAACTACTTCATTGTTTTAACAACGGAACACGTCAAAAATAATCAATGAACAAGGAGTAGTAGCACATCATGACCCACCTGTGCATCTAAGGCACTATCTAATACTTGAGGCAGCAAACGTGCAGGATGACCCACTCTCACAAGCTTGACCCTAAAGAAATGAAATCAATGGAAATAACAATATGATATACAGTAGGAAGATAAAACACAAATCCAAACAAAATCTGAAGACTACAATCTGTAATTTTATGAAGAATGCTAAATTAACTCCTTGTTCATTGCATGCAATGAAAGCAGAAACATGATTATCAGACTCGATCATTATCAGCTAACAAAATCTTTTCACACTTCACGACTCATCTAGTCTACTCTTTTCATCATTTCATACACATAAGCATCAATGCATTTCCAATGAAATCATCCTGCTAGATTAGAAATTACCTGTGAGGAACAAGACGTTCAACTATATTGTCCACGGCAATATTTGATGCAGCACATGCAAGTATTTTTGATCCACGTTTTACTTCCTGTAAGATAATTTCTACAACGGTTGTGGTCTTCCCAGTACCAGGAGGTCCATGCAGCAAAAATACATTGTTGGATGACATGGCTTTAGAAATTGCAGCTTTCTTCACAGAAAAAGACAGCCAGTTCCAGATCAGTTAGAATTGATTAAATCAACAGAAAATATTGTATAGGTAGCAACATGAATATGTAAGTCCACCCCACCCCACCCCACCCCCCCCCCCAACCCCCCGCTCTCATCCAAATTAAAAAAGAAAAAGAAAAATCTTCTAGTTCTTAATTTCTATGGTCTTCTTCCAAAGTTGGTATTAATATTCAAGTCAATAGAAAGGCAGGAAAATGCAAGAACTGAAAGTAGTAAGTTTAAGTATACAGATCTAACAAAGAATCTTCCAAATCCTTATTTCACATTAGGGGAGCAAAGTACAAATTATACGCTATGGTTACAAAATTCCAATGCAAGTCAGATGAGGAGATACAATCCCAATTAAAAAAAAAGAGCAGAATACATGCATATAATCATTTTAACCTTAGGTGGAATAGAGGGGGGAGGAAAGAACAGAAGGGCAAGAGCCATGTTTATGAAGGTCGAAAAGAATATGGTTCCTAAGAAACAAAATACATCATTGTTGCATTTAATATCCTTCCCGATGATTTCAAGATATTAACTGGTTTTAGGATCGGTTTTATGTTATCTATTAGATTAAGGAATAACCACATGGTATTAAGATTCTAGGTATAAACGACGATTACCCAAGATAATTTCTTGCCAAAAAAATTTGCGTCCACAGGAGCAACTTGGGGGGGGG